TGTTTAAATATATAAATGTTTTTAATTGCAGCTTTAATCTTACATTGTCAGAAAATAAAAGCAACAAAACGTACATCTATAATACTATAAATTATCCTTTGACTTTGATAAAAACAAAAATCAAGTTTTAAAACTTAGACTTAAGACACAAAAACAGTAATCAAAAACATAATATAAATTAAACATTAAATAGGTAGTATAATAATAACACTATATCACATTGTCACGTTACTTAATATATAATAAAATATTTTATGTTATGTGTCATAAAATAATAATAWATAAATCACTATAAAATTACTTATAAATAAGGAGAAAATAATAAATAGCAAGTAATGAAAACGAACTAGTTGTATATATCTACGTTGCAAAATGTATCTTTATGTAGGTACATGAAAGTTAATAGGTACTACATATAGGTGATAGTTCGTACATCGTCAAAAATTCAAAATTCCGCATTGTGAATTCGTATGATGCATAAAAGTTATTGTACCAGAAAATCATAAAATATATTTATTTTTTATCAAATTTTATGTTAGGTAAATTAATCAGATTCAATGCCTACTCAAGTGTTTTTATAATACACCTACACATACAATATGAATCGGTGTCTGCCGCACAATAATATATATTACACCTAACATATTATATAGAGCCATTCGTTATTATGACAAGAGATAAATCTCTGAGCGCAATGATTCGAAAAATATTCACCATGATAAAGCATGTGTAGGGTTAAGTTGGTCCTGTGTGTTTATGTGGTTTGTGTTTCATTCGGATAAGGGTTTGAAAATAAATAGGAAAAATTATACATTACAAATAAAATGCAGACCGTTGGGTTGGAAAACACGCATCATATTAAATCAAAGCAACCGGAAAAATCACACCTATCATTCTGGTATAAAAAGCACTCGTCGAGGTGCACAACGCCCAAGTGTGTATTGTGACTTTAGAACATCGTCGTAGATACACAAGATGAATAAGACGTAAGTTAACGAATCAGGAGCAAAAATTATATTTTGCACATTCGTATTTTTTTATATTTTTTATACATTCGTACGATTATGTTTTCGTTAAAATTATTAATATTTTTGTACACATACACATTAAGAATATTTATATTTATAATATGTATAAAATATAAATGTCGTTAAATTAACACTGTCAATTGGTATAATTTTAGGATTCTATCAATCGTAGTTGGCGTTGTGTTCTTCTTGGCTCTTTCTCTTTCCAATGCAAACGTGTGCACGATTTCGGAAAATAATTTGTAAGTTATTTTTGATTAGATATACAATTGTATAAGATAGATCATATCACATATACACTATAACCTTTAACCAGTCACTCAAATCCATCAGTTCATCCTAAAAAATAAAAATATTTCATGGTTATAGATTTAACCTTAAATTTTAAGTAGGTATAGGTACTTAACGAAATCGATATTAGTATAATGTAAATAAAATTAAATAATAATCAGAACTGAAATATCACTAAATTAAACATTATAAAATTAAAGAACAACAGTTTTATTCAAAATTATGTAGATACTAGATAGGTACSTATCATCTTTAGGTACGTATAAATAATACATATCTTTTATTTAGGTATATTTATATTTTATTTTAACGAAATGTTGATCGTACTTTCACAAGTATTTATTATTAGTAGATTTCTGTGTATATTTTTTTAAGGAGAAAAGGTCAGGAACTCGCTTTTACAGTTTTACCGTATGCTGAGTAAATTAGGTTTTCGGTGTACCTTGTCAGTGGGAGGTCATCATAAACATAATAGGCATGTCGCATGTATATGTATTAAATTGTAATTCAATCATAATGACTAAGTGAAGGAGATGGGTACTTATATGTATAGGAGGTATATACAGGAAAAAAAACAGGCTCTCCAGACAATTCGTATTGACAAATATTGAAAAAAAAATATTGTGGRTAGGTATGCATGACCGATAATCTAGTTAATTTTTGTATGGAGGGGGTAATACGTAAGTAACTATCGAATAGTATCTATACCTAATGCTATATTTATATTATTAAGAGTCATTATAGTTTATCATTGTATAATGATATTTTTTAATCTATTATAAGGTTGGACTAATTTGTGTTGATAAACTGAAACTAATTACCATTTAACTTTTACGTATATGTTTATAACGATGTAATGTGTAAATAGGTTCGTGGTAAAAATTGCTTAGAGATAATCTAAAAATTTCAAAAATTTCTGTCTATGTTATAACAGAAATAATAAAAACTTTCATCAAATCTCAACGATTAATTCGGCCTACGGCCACACTATTAGTTTTCTCCTCACTCCACGCATTGCCGTATAATAAATTCACGCTTAGAAGAATCAATCTTGTGTTGTTAGATGTTACCTTTAACCTTTATACTAATACTATTATAGTTAACTACTTTATCATCAAACATAAAGTAGAGAATGTTATCTGTGGACTGTGTTTATACATTGGCTTTTTACGATATTTCTACGATGAATTTAAGACGAGCATTTTTAAATAGGAATATTTCACATTCATAATTTGCATAAAAATTAAAATATAAAAAAAACCAACGTAGAAACATGAAAGATAATATTCTTAACATTAAGTTTAATATTAGGGCTTAATTAACTTTAATATTAAAGCTTACAACACAAGATAGGCCGTGATAGACAGTGATCGGAACAAAGGGTCACTCATAGTTTAAAAAAAGGGTACATCGTATTATACTAGACTTCTAGCTACACTGAATATTAGTAACCTAAATAATAATATAAAAATGATAGACACCTTCGTTAAAACTAGATCAAGAAAACATTTACGCAACATTGTTTTAAACAAAAATTAATATAGTTTTATCCATATTCAATAATTACGATTTAAGTAATGACAATTAATCTACTATTAGATTAAATGGTATTATATATATAATATAAAGAGATAGAAAATGGTTCTGGTGTGATGATCGTGTGAGTTGATCACTGTATAGAACGCTGGATTATAATGAAGTCCTTATAATATTATTAATTGTTGGTTTATTTCTTTATTTGTATAAGCTTGAATTCATTAGCCTTTACGAAATTAATAAAATTAAAATCATGTAATTTTTCGCAGAAATGTTTATCGAAAAATATCAAATAAGGAATTGGCGACGATTTCAAACGAGACCAATCAATGCAGATACAATCCTATAGACAACTATTATATTAGAGACACGTACAGAACTAGAAATTTAAACATAAGATCCGAGAGACGTACAATTCGTGTAGATGGGAGAGAACAAGAACGCAGAGTTTGGGTTAGAATCGACGATATCCAAAAGGGTAGATTGACAAGATCGGAATCATTACCAAACATTCGTCGCGAACAAGTTCGGAATGCAAGAGAGAGAGACATGGATTTAAAAGGTACTCATCAAAGAGCTTTAGAATGGAACAGGAGAAAAGTTTTAGAAAGTCGTTCCGATGAAAGAATTTTAAGACGCAAAGTAAGAGATAGGCAATACGATGTGCAAACAAACAGAGATAATATAGATACAAGAAGCAGGACACGGCAGACCAGACAGGTATTCATTAGTATTCTCATAAATTTWATAAATTAATTAAAACATTCAAATAATATGTTTACAGAATGGTATGGTAGCTATTAATGACAAAGATGAAGCGTCTTCATGGTAAATTTTCTAAATATTAGTATGAATCATATCATAATTTAATTTATATATTTTAGGCCATTTTCAAGTTTTGTTCAGTCAGCAATTGGTGTTCTTGGACTTTACTACTTTGGGATGCATAATAAAAACGTTAAGTAATTAGAATTGTTACTTAGTAAAATATGTTAGTGAATACTTACTGTACAAGTACTATAATGAAATTATCAAAAATGTTAATGAAATAATGAATATAATATGATTATACTTTTCTTTTAAACCAATTATAATACTAGTGTTTTAATTTATTTTTTTATACCTTTTATCAACTAAATTATATTGGTACTCAATTATAAATTAAGTGCCAAACATAATTTATTATTTAGCAAAACCTACATAAATTCAAATTTCATCAGTCAAATTTATTATAATTTGAACAAATATATTTAAATACATACCAACTGGCATATATAAATATTTTAATTAACAAGGACAGGCTTGGGTATGTAAATATAAAAACGCAATGATATAACATAAAGTTTAAAATCAAAATTCCTTACTTGAACATATTTACTCCATCTTTTAATGTGATCACAACTCATCCATTCACACAAAATGTTAAATTTCTTTTTTAAATGATAGTCATGTCAATATCACTCAAATGTTATGTTTTTATACTGTTGTTTTTAAATTTGTAAAAGTTATCAAGTATCAATTCTATTTGATCAAGATAATTGCGTATTTGTTTATTTTTTTCTGATAGTTTTATTCTGTATTGATTATGTGACTGTTCGATTTCATCAAGGAGATTACCAATTATGGTATGCAATTGTGATTCTCTAGTCATATTGCGTTCAATTAATTCATTTAATTGGCAATCATAACTCTTTAATGTATCTTCAATCTAAAGTAGAAAATAAAAATTATAACAAAAATACCAAAAGTTATTTTTTCTGAACATGAATCTCAAATACACAATGTGTACCATGAGAAGTAACCAGTCAGCGTTATATGATATTAAACACATTTAAAGGAGGTCTAACTTTTTCAATTTTTTTAGATTATTAGATATTCAAATTTTTTTAGTCTACCACAAATTTACTGATATACCTTCAACACTTTTCAAYATTATTTTTTTCTTTTAAGCTGTTTTATTGTGCAATCAACTAACATAAAACATGTATACAAACTACAAACATAGAATCTAATTATTAAATAAACTAAATTAAAAAAAATATTAAGAAAAAGAAATCGCAAAACTTCAAACTAAGCTGTATTCACTACTGTTTTTATTTACAAATATAGCCTGTAGTGCCTACACATGCTTCATCTAATCTTTTTGTCAAATAAATTACCATTGACAATAATTAAAATCACAAAAGTTGTCATGTTTGACAGTATATTACTAGAAAACTATGGAAGATATGATCACAAAATTTTTCAGGTATTATAGGTATWCTGTAGAATAATAAAATTAATATTAAAAAATGAATTTTTTTTCAGCAACTTTTTTTAAAATTAATAACAATAATTTATACATTTATCGTTTGATTGTGTATGTTAGTTGTGGCATAATTAAAATAGCTTTATAATTAACAAAAAATTATGATAAGAAGTTGAAAATTTTTGAATATACATCAGCAAATGTGTGGTTAGTTCGGTTTTGTTTAAAAAACTTGAATTGACCATTACTCAAAAAATAAAAKTTCCCATTTAAAGAGGTTTTTTTTTATAACTTGARGTGTACTAACATATGAAACCAGCTGATCACATCCTCACAGGACACATTGTATGTTATTTATTTTTCTGTTAATGAGGAAATTACAAAACAATTAACAGCACATACAACTTTGATAAATTATCAATATACCTGGTATGCTATCTTGTTCAATTACCTAAATAACTAGGTATTTAAATTCAAAAATAATAAAATATTTTTCAAATTCATAAGGTAAAAAAAAAACTCTATATAATTAAGAAAATGCCACACTCTTATGTGTTTTCTTCGTCTTACAAGTGCATAGCATAGCTAATTTTATGTTCAGCAATTCCAAATTAGCTCTGTTGGTTTAAAATGTAGAGTGAATTGACCTCTTATAAAAGTTAATGATAACAATATTATTTAAGTTATAAGAGGCTTTTTATTATATTTTAATTTTAAAGCGAGTTATGAGCATTTTTAAAATTGTAAACTTTTRTGCACTTGTAAGACGGAAAAAAACTCATGCGGGTGTGGCATCCTCTTAAAATTTCTTAAAATCATAAGAAAATTATTAATATATGTAAGCCACATGACAAAACACTTATACTTATATACTTTAAAAATATCATTCAATTATGAACTAGGTTATCTACACAAATTTAGAGTTTAAAAAATGATGGAAAAAACTAAGCATAAAGTAACATTAATTTTTGGGTCATTAAGTTATTAGTGTAGGGTTTAATTAAATATATWATATAAAAAAATTGAATACTCATAAACTTGCATTTTTTTTTAAAAACGATTCACAATACTGACTTAATTGCTGATATCGATTTTCCAAATTGTGAATTTCTTGTTCTTTACACATAAGATTTTTTTCAAGTTCATTATTTTTCATCTGAAAAATGTTGACGACAATAAAAAAAATAAATTATTTACTATCATAATATCATGATGTATACTTTATAAAATTTTAATTCTTCTTCCGTTTTTAATTTAATAATTTGGTCCTGAGTTTTCATATTATTAGCAAATTTATCATGTCTGTTACACAACATTTGTAGCCGATTGTGATTTTCCATCATAGATGCGCTCACTTTAAAGTGGGATTTTATAAAATTCACTTCTGAATCAGGAACCTAAGGCATAAATAATAAATATTGAATTTAAATATAAAAAAATATATAATGTTACATTTTTTATAAAAATTTGTAAATTAAGTTTAAATGATTATAGTAACCAGAAAACTTAAAAACTATTTTATAATACAAATGCTTCCATATATATTTGATGAAAATTTAAACTATACAGTTATTCTTTTATAATTAAAACAAAAAGATAAAATTCTTTTTGTCAAAACCTGGAATTGCGCACACAAATACTTCTTCTTGCTGTTTTTTTGTTAGTTTATCTAAATTATTTCAACCAACATTTTTAATTTGACCTTCCAAAATTACAAACTAGATACAATTTTAACCCATTAACCTCATAAAGAATCAACAAGATAACATTTGTTTTGAGAAACCACACTCAAAATTGATGATATCAGCAAATGTTTTGCTTCAGAGTATAAGAATGATAGATACCAAAAAAAAAAACAAATCTCATAATAGACATACGCACACTCTATAGTTTTAGGGGTGTCATACTGTCATGAGATATCCCATCTAATAGTTTATTTTAAAAATTAGAGCTTATGGTATAGCATTATATCTGCTGCCCCATACGCACGCATAAATATTTTTAATAAATCTATATATAATTTAAAAAAACTGATTGTTGTTTTTTTTAATTTGACATTATTTCAATTTATAATATACATTATGTTGGACGTTGGTATTATGCAAATACTGTTGTATTTTAAAATTAAATTCACAAAAGTATATCTAACTCTAACTAGGAAGGGTATAACTTATTTTTACACCAATTTATAATCTAATATCATTTTAACTTTTGATACACAAAAGTATTTATTTGTTAAAATATTAATTTCTTTTTAAAACTAACTTCAGATTTTTTAGATTCTGAGCGGAGCGAGAAATGAATTGGTTTTACAATGATGTTTATTTCTTTTTCTTTTTTATTCTGTAAACACTTTTTCTCCCTCTAAACTTGCTCAAAAGTATCAAGTAGAGCATCTTTTCTGAAAGGTAATGCTCTTAAAAGGCTAGTACTTTGGAGAGATCATTTTTTGATTTTTGAAACGGTACTTGAAATAAAAGCTGTTAAAGGATAAAAAACCGTGCGATTTCGCGATTTTATGATATTAAATAATCACGGACGACTTTTAAAAAAAAATTAAATTAAATTAAAAATATCAATCGTTATATATCTATAAATAGCTCAAAAAGGGTCAAATTGTTTTAAAAATTATTCTATACATAAAAAATCCTAATATAAACATTAAGTGAAAATTTCAAATATCTAGTGTCATTCGTTTGCAAATTATAAAATTTTTTTTGAAAAGTATTGGGAATTTTTATTTTGACCTTAAAGTATTGACAATACTCTGTTTAGCAAGAGAATGCATGGATTCTGTGCATTTCTTCATGTCACCCTGATACTAAAACCAATTCCCATATAGCATAATGTCAGGTGGGGATGTGTAGAAGAACCAATTTTGGCAAGGCTGCTATGTGTTCTTTCATTGAATAGAGTATAGATTCATTTTTCAACTATTCATTATGTGTATGTAAAAAAAAAATATCAGGTAAATCATACACTTATTGTTGTGCTTAGAATCTAAAATAATAATTATTGGAGCATATGTATTCTATTAATACTCATGTTCAAATCTTGAATACACTAATAATAGAAGGGTCCAGACATTCAGTAGACAGTAGTTAACATTCACCTCAAAATAATACAAATTAAACTTCACCTTGACTAATAATGACCTACATAATATAATATTACACATAAGTTTATATACAGATATACCAAATCAATGTATAACAAATATTAGTATGTACAGTGCCACAGTGGACATCTGGTTTCTTGGAATGTGGTTTATTAACTGGTTGTAGGGGTTATTGACACACTCAACTGTCAACACATTATATTCTTCACCTTTTGTTAATGCAATACAAAAATAATTTGTAAAATACATTAATGTTTTTTTTCCATAAAATGTATTATATAGAAAAATGACTACATCAACACTATACTTAAAAGTGATATTAATTTTTAATATAAAATAAATTTAAATTCTAGCAAAAACGCAAAATATAGATTACAAAAATGATTTAAATATTAAATTTTTACACAAGTAAACAAAAGTATTATAATAAATAAGTAAATAACAATCCACCCTAAAATATTAACAATTTTTTTTATGTTATTTACTCATTAAGTGTTCTCTTAACAGTCATAAAATTTATTTTCTTTATTAAAGTAAAACAATTACAATCTGTAGACAAAACATACAATAAGTAATTGTGTAAACATTTATTTATTTTAACTAGGCTGGACAGCTTGAGGAATGGTGTCCCATTGACACTACAATCAATATAAACTAAAAAAAAACCAGTCGCCTAAACAAAAATTGCCATGTGACACTAATACAAACAAAATCGAGTTCATATCAAATTAGAAATTAGTTTATGCACCATTCTTTTTCATTAAATTAATACAAGTCATTATATTGGTGGTTTAATGAATAAACTAAGATGGCAAATACAATTGTTATCGATAGCTGTTAGTATGAAAAGATCTATTGTAGATACTAGAAAAAATAATTTTATATTATTTTAGTCATTAAAATACAATAGCAATGTACAGTTTACAACATAAAGATATAAAATATTCTATGCATGTTTATGTCAGAAGGTAGAAAATTTGGTCAATAACCAGTAGTATTAAAGAAATATCAAATAGGTGTGGCTTGGATTGGGACCATAGCACAGTACCGGTTTCTGTATACATTAAAGAGTTCCCTGTGGTCAAGAATCAATTTAGTTTATCCTCATTTAGTAGTTCGAAATGGATGGTTGTTCCAGAGTCCTTTACTGTGTGTTTACACTTTTAGCCTTATCAACATTTACTAGGTGTTCAGAGAATAATAATCAAAATCGAGATGTTGAAGAAAAAATAACTTATAACGGAGACCAAGTACTTAGAGTTGTAACAGTCAACTCTAAGCAAAGGAAAAAAATCAAAGAACTAGAAAATCAAGGATGTAAGTTAATCTAGTTTTTCATTAGTCAAAATAATTGAATCTAATTTAAATATATTTTTAAGTGGTTGAAAAATGGTTTACTAATTCTACATCGGTAGATATAATGGTAAAAAAAGATAACTCAGAAATTGTAAAAAACTCACTGAATAATGGATCATTATCATTTGATATTTTTATTGATGACATACAAAGAGCAATCAATGATGAAAATCCTCCAATAAATGAAGACGAACTAGAAGTATCTGGAAGACAAGGTTGCAATTTATGAATAAATAATAAATTAATAATTATGCTCTAGAAATAATTTAACTATATACTTTTATATAAATTAATACATTAATTTATGTTTCAATAATTGATCACAAGTACAATAGTACAAAAAAAAAGTTCAATTAAAATCAGCAACATTATATAGAAATAATTTTAGTTTTATTAATCACTAATCAATTGATTTTAGGACATAACTTAACATTTGAACGTTATCATAAGGTAGATGATATATATAAATATATTGATCATTTATCTCAAGAATATCCAGATATAGTAGAAATTGAAACTATTGGTAAATCATATGAAAATGTACCATTACGAGTAATAAGAATTAAACTGGACCAAAATGCAACAGATACAAAAGCTATATGGATCGATGGAGGGATACATGCACGAGAATGGATTGCAGTGTCCTCAGTATTATATTTAATAAATGAATTAGTATATAACAGAGACTCATTGGAATCTCATATGAATAATATTGAATTTCACATAATACCAATTTTAAATCCTGATGGGTATTAATAATATAACTTAGGTCTTAAAGTATAGTTTTACAGATAATAAAAACATTATTTTTATCTAGTTATAAACATTCTCACGAAAAGGAACGCTTATGGCGAAAAAACCGTAACAAGCCCCTGGCAAATTCATGTGTAGGAACAGATTTGAATCGTAACTGGGATTATCACTGGGGGGAGACTGGTGCTAGCAAATATTCATGTGCAGAAATATACAGAGGAGTAAAAGCTAGTTCTGAGCRTGAAACCCAAGCAGTGGTTAAATATATCATGAAAAATCCAAATAAATTTAAGGTAAGTAGAATATTTTTGATTTTTAAATTTAATAAACTTACCTAATAGACTATAAATAGTAAATACATATATATTTTAGGGATTTCTGACTTTCCATAGTTATGGACAATATATCTTATATCCATGGGGCTATGCCAAACGGGTACCATCTGATCACACGGAAGTACATCGTGTAGGCCAGGTTATGGCTACAGCTATCAAAAAGGCAACATCAATTGAGTATACTGTCGGAAATAGTGCAGCTCTTTTATATCCAGCAGCCGGTACATAACATTTGATTTATATTATTAACACATTGGTGCCTAAAGGTAACACCAGTGCTTCCATTGGCTTTATTCTTTTTGTATGGTGGGCGCAATCAATGAAATATTTTATAGAAAATGAGGATTTTACTGAGTAATACAAGAGGATGTCACCATAAGTTACTTTTGTGTACATACCATACAAAAAAAATATATTTACTACATACAGTCTAAGACATTTAATGCCCGATCAGACTAGCGTTTTGTCGGTGATCGAAAAAACGGTCACGACCAAACCGCAATCGCCATGACCGTTTAGACTATGCGTTTTATCGGCTGCCGAGTACCTATAAACGAGATAAAAAAAGCGCAGGAATTGTTGTTAATTTGAAATTTAATAATTTAATATAAATTAGTATAGGTAATAGTTTTTGATTTTAATAAAAGGTATCAAATATTATAACTTAGGTAAAAGTTACATAATCAAAAAAATTGTTAGGTTCTTACTCCTTATTCATGTACTTATTAAAGGTCATATTCCAAATACACAGATAGTTTTGGACCTCTGTTATTAATTTTTCAGTTGAATACATGTTTGGAAAATATTTTTTAAATATAAGTAGACACATTTTTAAAAAAACTGCCATTTCAAAAAATAATGGTAACAGAAAAACGTTCAGTGTAGACGGCTCCGTATAAACGAATGTAATGTTGTGCACGATGGAAACACTTCGTTGCTACCAAAACGCAACAGCGCAAGGTTGATTTTAGACCGAATTTGGACAGATTGGAGAATCAGCTCAGTCTGGCCCCGATATGTTAATTATAGATGTTGCAATCGTTTGCCGATCGGCAACAAACAAAACGTATAGTGTGATCCAGATACTTATAGTAAAAATATTGTAMAACACCAAGAGACCTCATTTAGAAGGAAGCAAAGTGGGCATTTGTTCCTGTCTGACTTTAAAAGCAGCCCGAAAGCTGATAYTAACAGTATTTAAAAACTATGTAGTACATCATAAAGGCTAATTATAAATTTGTATATACAGTACACATGGTGAAAAAATTATAGGAATCACATTAACCATATATTTCTACAATTTTAGTAACATGAATATCTAATCAACTTTTACATGGCATGTACTTTAAATTATTTTTAGGAGCATCTGATGATTGGGCTAAAGGAGTTGCAAAAATTAAGTATTCTTACACAGTGGAATTGAAAGATACAGGAAAATATGGATTTATCTTGCCACCGTCTGAAATTGTGTCTACTGGAAAAGAAGCATTTGCAGCAGTCTCAGCACTAGCTAATGAAATAGGTTCAGAAAAAAATAATAATAAATAAAATTATTAGCTTACCTTCAACTCAGATGTATATTTTTTTAAAGATGAAGAACAAGTATAACAATTTTTTCTTTCCTCTTCTTTAATATATTTGTTTATAGTTAATTTTCCTATGAATATAATAAATATTTATTAGTTAAAATTGTATTTATTTAATAGGTACCATATAATTAAACAAATATTATGAATTTCAAGACCTAAATAAGCCAAATGTTTAAGGTTGTCTAGTAATGTTTGTCTTTACTATATTTCTGTTCCCCAATGGTAGAATATAGCATTAATCGAATGAATTTTTTTCAGATAATCATTTAGATAGTATTTTGTGCGATTAAATTTAAAGCATAATAGTTATTAAAATAATTGTTGGTAATTTTATTTGAGTAAATATGGTTGGTAATTTAAAAAATGCACATATTAAAAACATAAGTTGGCAATGTTTCTTAAGTTACAAAATTATAAATCTTATTTTATTCAGAATAAATACAAAAATATCATAAATATATATATATATATATATATCGTAGAATAAAGTAAAAAATTAGATATGTAGTTGGCTATAGTACACAGACTCGTTTTACACAACTCGCCCAACGGGAATTTTAAAACTCTTATTATTATATTTATATGATTACCAAACACCATTCACCATGTTACATTTTATGGTAGTTCACAAATAATAAATTTGGYGATAATTAAAAAAAAAAAATTCAATTCAATGGTATTTATAAATAGGAAATTAATTTGAAAACAAAACTATAGAGTATACCAGTAATTTGAAAACAATTTATAGAAATTAAATAGCTCCGATGTAGGTAGCAACTTCCATTAACTAATGTATAGATAGAAATTAATAATTCAACATTTGAAATATATTTAAATAAATGATCTAAATTTAAAATAATAAAAAAACAAACATGTTTATTATTTGGTGTTTAGGTAAACAATAAAGATATTTAAAATTTAATATGGGCGAGTGAATCTATAAAAACAATTATGATTTTCAAAGTAATTAATTAGATTCATAGGCGTGCGCATGGGTGCAGCAGAAGTTTCATATGTTGCATCTGCCACATTTTTTGGGCCGATTGATTAATCTATGGGCCGGTCGGGGCAATTCATTATTTAATAATTTAATATAAATTATAATAATTAATAAGTAAATAAAATTGATGTGAACCATAAATAATATAATTATTTTATATTATAACTWATAAAGTCTGATAGTAATTGTAACTTGGTGTTTTCAAAAGCAGTGAACAAATGTTTCCTTAAATTTTGTATGTGAACATTTGCTAATTGTTAAAAATAAAAATGATATTATTATAACCACTTAGGTAACAATAACATTGCCTGTGTATAATATGATCAATAATTATAATTTTGACTATTCAACATTTATTTGGCCGATTGTTAAAAAATGGGCTGCTTAATTTTATATGCTGCATCTGCAATGAAAGTCTGCGCACACCTATGATTAGATTACTATCAATAATTCTTTAAATAGATAAGTTAATTATAGGGTCAAACACTGTTAAGCAGTTAACTTCCTAATGATAACATATTTTTAAACTATGCTTTCTATTAAATTTTTAATACAAACCACAGATTTCTGATGTATTTGATAGTTTCTCTGGAATTGAAGAACTTTGAGAAGTATTATTTAAATTAAAAATAACTTTTTTTGTATCATTCTTTTGGGTCTTAGATTGTGTTGGTTTAATCTTTGTATTATTTTGTATACTTTTAAAGTCTTTTGAAGTTTTAACTTTATTTATATTTGAAGATGTTTGGAAGTATGGAAGTGTTTCACCAATTATTTTATCAGCTTCAATTAACAAATCATCAATATTTTTACCAGCAGAATCTCCTGAAATCATTCAATAAATAAAAGAAAGTGATAAAATGTATACGTGACCATAATTTCAAAATTCAAGATTACTCTATGATTGATTAGTTAATTCTAGTATTTACAAAACATATTGTGTTAAATTATGTCTTTTCAAGTTACTGTTTAGAACGGTCTGTACAATTTACAGGATTTATACAAAGAAACCATGTCGGTAAGATCTAAAAAATCCATCAAACTTCAAAAACTAATAAAAATAAAATAGATAGTGACAAGTATAACTTTCAATATCATTATTATTATAGATTGGTATTTGGTATCAGCCAGTACGGACTACAGCAAGATATTTTCAGTACCAGATACAAGTACATAAAAATAATGTTATACAATTGATGTGCATGTCTATTTCTTAATATAGAACCTGAGCTGCCACCAGTCATTTCTTCCATCTTTGCCTGTAAATGCCAGATCAATTGACTCATTTCTTCCCAACATGGTAATTATTGATCTTTTCTAACGTAGGGTTTTAATTAGTACTTTTTTTGGTTATATCATTATTGGCTCAATACGTAGCCAAAACATTTCATTCTCTTAACGCTTAAATAGTGAGTTTGTCATACAAGGCATATCGGTCATCATTTTTCTTCTTTCAAATATTCTTGACACTGAATTGTATATTGAGSCAAAAATATTTCTTAATACATTTCTTTTGAATATTGCCAATCTGTTGTTACCAACTCTTCGTTGAAAACCATGTTTCACATGCATGAGGAATTAAGTAGGTATCTGCTGTTACTTCCAAATCAGGTTAATCAGTTTACAAATCTCATTCTTCACTGTTCTATAATAATTCTGTCATACTGTCTTAAACATTGTCTAGTATTATCAATGTTTTAATAAAAAATTGATACAAAAATGATGAGTATTAATATAATTTTTTACTTATCCAGCGTGTACTTGAACTTTATAAAAAAATGAAAAAACTGTTAAAAACTATTTCTCTATAATAAAATTATTGATATAACTTAGTATTGGTAATGTGACTAAACTAATTTATTCAATGGAAAATGGATAGTGGTGAAGTGTTTGCCGTAACAGTGGATACAAAGGTATTAAACATTATGTTAAACCACAGTATAAAGAATTAATTAGTAGGTAAAGTATTAATATTATTCTTTATACTGTGGTTAAACGTTTAAGACTTAAGTATCTACTATCTAATATTAYTAAAATAGTTTGTATAGGTAGTTGTTGAAATGATATATAGTTACCTATAATGTCTTGGATATTACAGTCCTCTCTACCACACAATAACAATTGTTCCATCTCAGAAATTAAGGAGTCCATGTCGTATAATCACGAATAAAGATCTTAATTCATGCGTATAATGGAAAAAATTAACTGATAACTATTAACGCAGATTTCATTTTTAAATTTAAATATTTAATAAAAATGAATAGCTAACTTATTAAAAGTCCGGTTAAAAAGCCTAATTAAAATATTACAAAAAAATTTAAAAATTAAATCAGAAACTCATAGCCATTGATGTTAGATCACGATTTAAGATCTTCGAATATTATGAAGATTATGATTGTAGAATTATACTGCTAACTGTGGTTACTATATAGTCACAGTCTCACAGACATTATTAACTGTTATAGACATATTATTTATTTATTTAAACTGTTCTATGTTAATGTTATTAACAACAAAACATAGACCTGATAATAGATATTAATAATAATAATATATTATCAGGTCTATGCAACAAAATATTGTAGTTGTTCATGATAACATAAGATAAGCAAAGATTAACCACACGATAGAATTGGTCGCACCAGTCGCACCCACGATGTAGATAAAACGGTGT